TATAGCAGCCTTTCATTGCCTCAGCACGCTTGCTACAGCAATCGCAACCAAAGTTAATGTGCAACAATCATGTATGCCATTTGTTGGGAGAGGGGATAGTTTATAGGATATCACTGCTACGTATAAAATGTAATATCAGGTTACTGCGGGCTACGTCATTTCCCGAATATTGTTATGCTCCGATTTGCTACGAAAGTGAGTGTAACAGGTTTTTTTTTTTTGAATGGATAAAATAAACGGCAACTGTAGCTTTTGGCTTTTTTAGGCCATTTTGAGGGTCGTGAGATAAGAGAATAAAGGGAGGCATTTGCCTGATTCGAATATCGGGCTGCATCGTCCTGTGGGACGAGCGTGTCCCGGGCCCGGTGGGACAGGCCTCCTACAGTCGCTCAAACGGTCACCACGGCTGGACAAAGTGGACATGCTCCTAATCATGAGGCGAGATGCTCCGGTCGCCTGATTGCGATGATGGTCCGTCCAGGACAGAGACCGTGCGATCAAATGTGAGAGTGGGCTCGAACTAAAGGTTTAAAGCTATACATGACTGCATTTCAAATCAATTTTCTTCTTAGTACTTACTCCTGGATTAGACTCAAAAGCTTCCAAGCGTCTGCTGTAATATATTTTGCTTGTTTTCACTTTGTGCCTGTGTTTGTGTGCTTGCTTATGGCTTGATGAACCCAGGGTGCAGACGCCACCAGTACCAGCCGAGAACTGTATTCAGTGAGCGGGGCGGCGGTGGCCCGGGCGGCCACAGCCCAGACTGCATACGATACCGGCGCCGGCTCAGCGGCGGCTCCAGGCTATAGAGCGGGGTGGGACCACAGCAGCCACCACGATACATCTCCCCCTCTTACACGTATGCTAATAAGATCTACTAGAGAATGCTAAGCTGTACTCAAAGCACAAAGCTGGTTTTCTTAAACCCCAAAAATCCGACCGCTGCGAGTTTTACGAGGGCTAACGTGTACAGGGTCGTCAGCGGGCTGCACTGATGGCGGAGCGGGTGCCAGCGGAGACGTCGCCGGCTCAGGCGACGGCGCAGCTGGCGGAAGCTGCTGTGGTGGTGGTGGCGTCACCACCGGGCGTGGTACTGCCACGGATGTCGGCGGCACCACCGGAGGTGGCACTGGTGCTGCCCGTTGCCCGGTTCCGTGCTGTGCCGGGACCTGTAACGGAACAGGAGGGATCAGCAGCAGGTGCCGTCGGTTGCGGCGATATTGGCAGCCGCCCAGCTCCACCAGATAGCTGCGTCTGGAGAGCCTTTGCGTGACGATGGCGGGCTCCGACCAGCTGCCCTTTTCTGTCTTGATCCGGACTCTGGCGCCGGGCTGCAGCGGAGGCAGGTTGCGGGCGCCTCGCCTCTGATTGGCGGTTGACTCCTGTTTCTTCTTTCTCCGCCCATCGCGAAGTTTGGCGTGCCGCCATGCCTTCTTGGCGGGCTGCTGAGCGACGGGGAGACGGGACTGAAGCTCACGTCCCATCAGGAGGCGGGCTGGGGAGTATCCTGTGGCTTCCACAGCCGTTGTTCGGTAGTTCAGGAGAGCGAGGTGAGGATCTTTTTGGCGAAGTATCCACTTTGCGGTCCTCACGGCCCGTTCAGCTGCTCCGTTGGATGATGGCGTGTGCGGGTCAGTGACGCGATGTGTGAAGCCGTAAGAAGCTGCGAAGTCGGCGAATGAGCTGGAGGTGAACTGCGTTCCTCCGTCTGTTGTCATCAGATCCGGTATCCCCAGTCTGGAGAACAGGCGCTTCAGCCGCTCGATGACTGCGGTGCTTGTGAGGCTGGGCAAGCGTTGAATTTCCAGATACCTGCTGAAGAGGTCCACAGTCACGAGCCAGTTGCTGTTGTTGAAGTGGAAAATATCTGCTGCGATGTGAGTCCACGGTCTTGACGGCGTTGGAGTCGTTACCAGTGGCTCAGCGTGCTGAGAGGGCGCGTGCACTTGGCAGAACGCGCAGTGCTCGATGTGGCGCTTCAAGTCGATGCTGATCTTGGGCCACCAGACGGATTCTGCTGCTCGCTGGCGGCACTTGTTGAGCCCGAAGTGACCGTCGTCGTGTAGACGGTTGAGCATCTCTTCACGCAGACTAGGCGGTATGATGATGCGGCGGCCGTACATCAGCAGTGTGCCGCTTGTCAGGTAGAGAACGCTGATTTCTCCACGCGCGGCGAAGTAGTCCAGCATGTCGGAGTGCTTTGCTCCCTCCTTCCAGCCAGAGAGAGTCTGCTGAACCACGCGCTGGAGGAGTTCATCTGCCTGTTGTGCCCTGCTGATCTCCACCAGACGCTGCGGTGTGGCGGGCAGGTCATCGAAGACCCTCTTGCAGAAGTTGTGGACGTCTTCCTGTAGCACAGCGCCGATCGCATCGTGCTTCTGGAGTGGATGACGCGAGAGGAAGTCAGGTACCAGGTGCTGCTTCCCTGGAATGAACACCGCTGTTGCGTTGTAACGCATCAGTCGCATGAGCATGCGCTGACACCTGATTGGCGCATCTACGAGATTTTTCGTGTTGATGAGCGGGATCAGTGGCTTGTGATCCAGTTGTAGGTCGAACGACGGCAGTCCAGACAGGAACATGTGCATCTTCTCGCACGTCCAAGTTGCAGCGAGTAGTTCCTTTTCAATCTGGGCCCACCTCGTCTCTGTGTCCGTCAGACTTCTGCTGCAGAATGCGACGGGCTTGAAGCTGGAACCATGCTTCTGAAGGATGCATCCTCCGATTCCGTAGCTGCTTGCGTCTGCGCTGACCACTGTCTCACGCGCTGGGTCGTAGAACGCCAGGACTGGAGCGGACGTGACGGCTGCTTTCACATCATCCAGTGCTTGCTGCTGCTGAGGCGTCCAGTTCCACGCAGCGTCCTTTTTCAGCAGATCGTTGAGGGGCCTTAGGCGCTCCTGGATGTGCGGGACGAACCTGCAGAGGTAGTTGACCACCCCTAGCAGAGACCGGAGCTCTGTGACGTTCTTTGGCTGCTGGAGCTGCTGTATCGCTTCAAGTTTCTCGTCGTCCACGCCGATGCCATTCTTGCTTATCTTCATGCCAAGAAACTTGACCTCGTCCCTTCGGAACTCACATTTCGTCTTGTTCAGCTTGAGGCCAGATTCGTGGATTCTTCTGATGACGGCTTCGAGACGTGCGTCATGGTTGCTTGCATCTCCAAAAACCAGCGTGTCGTCCATGTAGACGATGACTCCAGGCAGTCCATCCAGCATCTCTTGCATCTTTCGCTGGAAGCACTCCGGAGCCAGTGAGATTCCCATCGGCAGGCGCAGGAACCTCTTCCTGCCGAACGGTGTGATGAACGTAGTCATTTTGGAGCTTGCTTCGTCCAACGGGATCTGGTAGAAGCCAGAAGAAGCGTCCAGCTTGGAGAACAGTGTCGCACCGCCCAGCTTGGACGTCAGGTGCTCCAGGGTCGGGATCGGGAAGATCTCACGCTTTACGGCTTGGTTCAGCTTTTTGTAGTCAACTGTGATCCGGACACCACTGTTCTTCGGGACAGGGACGAGCGCGGATACCCAGTCTGTGGGTTCAGTCTCTGGTACGATGATGCCCTGCTCTTCCATTCTCTTCAGCTCCTCCTCCACTGGCTTCATCAGCGGCAGGGGGACGTGTCTTGCTGTGGAGAGAGCGACCGGGACGGCATCCTCGCGTAGCCGGATGCTGATCGGTGCCGTCTTCATGAGACCTGCTTCTCCGAAGACATCTTCATGCACCTCTCCTGTGAACTGGAGAACACCCAGACGCGAGCACGCCGACCGGGAGAGGAGGTTTTCTGCTGAGTCCACTACATAGAACACCTCCGACTCCGCTTTGCTTTTGAACATGATTGTCCCATGCAGCTTCCCTTTTACGGTTAGCACGCCACCGACGCTAGTGAGCGTGCTTGAGGCATGCTCAAGGGAGGGCAGGTTCAGTCGCTGGTAGGTTTTCAAAGACAGAATGCTAACGTCGGCACCAGAATCAACTTTGAACGTGACCTCTTGACCGCAGAGACTGACTGTGATTCTCCACGGCGCGCACGCTTTGTCGATTTCACCAACGAAAGCATCATGTGGCGCTAACGGCTCGCTTGATTCTGTACGCTCTATCTGCCTGACGCTAGGTGATCGGCAGACGGCTGCGAAGTGATCAATTTTCTGACAGTTGGAACAAACTTTTCCCTTAGCGGGACAGTCCCTCGGTGAAGCATGCCGCTCTCTCCCGCAATACCTGCATGTTGTTGCAGAGTCGATGTGACGCGCTTGCTGTCTTGGCTGCGTGACAGGTGACTGCTGCTGTCGCCCGTGCTGCTGGCGCCGTTGGTGCTGCTGCTGATGGCCACGCTGGCGCTGACGGGCATGCTGCGGCTGCTGGCGCGGCTGTCCGTACTGCGTCGGTGCTTGAACCCTGTTGACATCAAATGGACCGGAGCTGTCACGGCTGCTTACGATACCGGCGCCGGCTCAGCGGCGGCTCCAGGCTATAGAGCGGGGTGTGACCACAGCAGCCACCACGATACAGCCTGTTTGCTACGTAACGCTCAAGCACCCGATGGTACCTATCCGTTTATCCGATCTAACATCCTTCCCTCTTACCACCCCGATAACACCTACTCCCGGTAGTGCACCGATTCCCAGGGTAAATGAGCACTTCCCCACGCGCCAGGTGTTGGCAGGCCCCAATAGCGGGCTCCATCTCGCTCCAGTAGCGCCGCCCCGACCTAATTGTAGCCTATCGCCCACCTAATGACCAGTTGTGCCCGTGCCCCGTCCTCCCCCGCCGTCCTCCGCTGCCACCGCTAATTACTCTTGTCTTCCTATCCGTCGATAAATAAAATTTCCCACCTTCCGTCGATCAGATAATGGCGGTACCAGTTGTAAACAAATCATTGTTCATCGGTGGACATGGCCCACCGGTGCTGCCGCCTGGCGGCGGGGTGGTGAAGCTCGCGGGGCGGCCGGCGACGGGGCGGGCCGAGCGCGCCGCTGCAGTCGCCGAGAGTGGTGTGGGGAGGGCGATACGCCTCGCTCTTACGGACGCCGATACAGACACTGAGTGCAGTGCAGCACTGATTGCAGACAGACCTAGCTGAGACCAGTCTACCTGTGGGTTACACAGAGATCGAGGCAGAACTGCAGAAGAGAAGCGGTGAAGACACGTCTTGGCTGCCCCTGAAAGGTGAGTTTACGCGCCGTTTATACAGGCCCGGGTGTGTTGTATGACCCATGTCGGGATGTGGCACTGATGCATGTATTATGGAGACCTAGCAGCGTGTGTGATACATGTGAGGCATTACAGTGTGTGACAGCATTGTGCATTGTGCCTGAGCGCTGCGATTTGTTTCCGAGGTGGCGGTTCAGCTGTGAGCGGCACTGAATCAGTGGGATGTTCAGTGATGGTCCAACCCAGTTCTGTGGCTTTCCTCTTTCGTTGTCAGTGAAGATGCATCCCTTTGTTTTCTCTCGCTCCCTTTATCGTTGAACACACGTGAAACACCTCTGGCATATATTTTATTCCTGAAACTCCGGCCTCCCGTTTCAAATACCGCAATGCCGGGATTACCGACTCTCCAGACATTGGCAAAGTTACAGAACGAAGATGTTACGCGACCTATGTCTCCCAAATGGTGCCCTGGCTATGGGCTGCAATTGTGACATTCTAACACATCCAACCGAGCTTTGAGCTGTGTATATGTATAACCTTGACGAGCTCCCTAACGGGACACCGTCTCGTCTCTGGCGAACTGTGATAGAGCCCCGCTCGGATGCCGGAGGAATATCTCTGCACCGGCTCCATAATCTCATAGCCAGAACCCACCTCCACCGTAATCTCATAGGCGGAACACCTCCACTCCGGGTTGTAATCCCATAGCCTGAAAGTTACCAACTGGTTCGTCCTGTAACGCGATACCCTGCGTTTGTCCGGCCAGCCCGCAAAAGTGGACATTCCAGTACCGTGTAAGCCGCACGGGCCGACCGCGTCCGCTCTGCCGAGCGGAGGGCCTTCTCCCGTCCCGATGATGCATTGATATGTTTGGGCGGTCAGGGCGGGCTAGCCGCCTGTCGAACGGACCCATTACTAGCCGCGGGCTGTTTTGATCGACTGCATTGGGTGGTGATATGATGATTGTATTGTGCTGTTTGTGAGCACAGCTGGGATCGTGCACTCCGTGGCACGCTATGTGAAGATGTGGTTGATGCCCTCTTAGTTGTCGGATCGGTGCAACAATCTCAGCGGTACTAGACGGATCTTTGAGATAGGAAGATCTTGGTGTTGCTTGGAGGAAACACGCGTTGATGTGAAGGATGAGTGCGCTTGGAGATCTCGAATATTTAGCAAAGCAAAATGATTTAGCCGAGCCTTTGCAGCACTTGTTGCAGCATGCTGGCTATGCGCCATCAGACCAATGATTGGGTATTGGTTTTTGGGTCGGCTGTCTGATAAATTATTTCAGTTGTCTGCGTATTACATTTATTAATTTTGATAATTACGTAGTTATCCAGGGGCTAGTCCTGTTCATGTTCTTCCGGGTAGGAGTAGCTGCTTGAAATACCCGTTATTACGGTGCAGAAGTTGTGTAAGGCGCAGTTTTAGTTGGGTAATTAGGCACAGCAAGCTTCTTCAAGTGGAAATCATCGCCTTTTCCTGACCCAACTGTTAGACCTTTTGATCGCTATTTATATTATAAATATTTCATATAAAAGTGTATGCTTTGGCTTGCAGCAACATTAATAAAAACGACTTAGACGGTAACGAAATGACGAAAAAACGAAAAAAACTTCTAGTGGATAGCTTACTTGTCTTACTATGATTATCTCTTGCATTGTTAATCCCTTTTAAATTCATCATGAACTTTTTTGTTCCAGTATCTAAACGACAAATAAGTGCTCTGTCCTGTGGTCTTATACCACCCCATCACCGCTGTCCATTCCTTCCAGTGGCGAATTCCACGTCCAACCCAGCACAATGCCGCTGTTCTTGCAGTGCGCGGGGGAAGGTCAGGGCCATGTCCACTGTCGGCTCCTGCCCTTATTGTCCTGTCCATCTGCGACTGTTTTTGTCCCTAGTTACCCTCACTCAGCTGCTTCTGGTCCCAATATACCTTCTGTTCAGCTCGCAGCCTTGACCGGCCGTACCAGTGTGGTGTTTTTACAGAGCCTAGAACTACCGTCAATGGCGTTGTTGTGACATTCTCTGAGACCGTCATTGATTAACAAACGAAAGTGTTCGGAGCTACCTTTTGCAATGACATAGTCACATAGATAACATGAATCATGTTATCTAAGGTTCATGTTGTTGATTCTATGATCCATGCCTGATTCATGTCATCTATGGCAATGACAATAAATGACACACATATCTTCAAATGAAACATACTGCAACAGCAGCAATTGACAGTAACTCGCAACGACGCACCATTCTGCTGCTCACATTCAGGCACGGGGTGGCCAACATTGCTAATGGAGACACCGAAGCCGCCCTCGCCCGCCACCTGACATATCGGGTGGTCGGGACAGACCTGAGCCATGTTTACAATCGTGGAGCGATGAGTGTCCGGCCGGGTCGCGTGTCACAAATGGCGTGCACCTCTCTGCGCTTGGTGTACCTACAGCGACTGCTAAGCGCTGGTCTGTTAGAGCGCCAGGGGTGACTGGGGACATGCTCTCAGTAACGCGAGTCCAGGAAGGGCGGCCAGCGAGCCTCGACCTGCATAGGCAGCGGAACGGCGGGGGGAACGGCGGGGCGGGGGGGGGGGGGGCACTGGGGCACCGTGCCTTCCTTGATTTTGCCATTTTAACAAAAGTCCTATGGGCGTTGCATGAAAAGAATGGGACCAAAAGTCGGCGGTCCCCCCTTAATTGAAGGTGTTTCGCCACTACTGTCGACCTGTCCTGAGAGCCTTGGCCTGGCCTGAAAGCACATACCTAGCCTGATGAGCCATCCTACAACCTTGAGCCACCCCGAACCGAACCGTTGCGCGTTGTGAACTAGCGGCACCGGCTGTGGGCATGGATCAAACGCGGAAGCCATAGGACTTATTATGAATTGAGTAGAGGTTTCTCACAGTCATGGGCTATCAGTCGGAACCGTTCGTATCTTGATATCTTATCTGATGCAACTGTTTGCGCCTTCGCATCCTAACGGATAGAATGGTGGGATCTGGGTGGGATGATTTTTTTGAAGAACAATGTTTCGATTCTGATGCAACAATACAAGATTCATGCGTGTGAGTAGGTAGGCCTGCTAGGGTCTCATTTCGTCAAACGTTGGTTTAAAGCACGTATGCCTGCAGAAAGACAAGAAACGAATGAATTCTCGAAGGTATGTGCACACTGTTACACAGAGTTAAGGTCTTCTTAGGCTATAGAGTCAGCCTTTGCCAGTTACATAATATGACATATACGCGGTTGGCGTGGTGTCAACAGGTAAAAAAGTAAGCCTCATACGTCAAGCGGCGCGAAACTAAATAGTTATTGTGACTGCCATCTTTTGTGCCGAGGGGGCGTGCCTACTATCAATCACGTATAGGTACGATACCATGTCCGTTTTTATTCCGGCTCACACTAATCTCATTATGACGACAATGTGGTAAAATGAAGGTGAAAATACTTTGGCGATGAATAATACTTTGTGCCATAACACGTTTGACAGCTAGTAAAATTAATTGAAGTGATGTTGAAATAATTGATCATGGGGTGCTGTGATGAGAATTTGATGTGGTGAGAACCGCCGCGATTTCCTCAGTGCTCTACCGAATATCGCCAATATCTAGATTCACCATCCAGTGGTCAGACTAACGAGCACTCTGCCCCAGACACCAGAGAAGATCCCGCCACATGTTTTTTTTTCGAAAATCCGATTAGTAAATTATCAGAATGATTTTTAGCATTTATTACGGTGTGAAAGTATTCTTCATGGCCATATGGCCTGGTTAAATGCATGAAAGTTATAAAAATATGGTCTTTAACCATGAATGATTTCTTATCTAAATACAGCATGCAAGATTGGTATTGACAATTAAAATGTACCTATGCAATGAAATGATATAATCAAAAGGCAACATGTTATGTGTGTTTGGAAGCGTTTTCAAGCCGTAAACTAACTCACGTTACCTATCCGTGCACGCATGTGAACGTGGCTCAGCTCCTGTCCGTAGTTTTGTCTCTCCTGTTCTATGAGCCAGGCCCTTGGCCGGCTAATTGGGGTGGAAAATGGCCGTTTGATGTCTAGCGGCGGAGCCCATCGCCCATAATGTCTGATCATTAGCGGCTAGCGGCGGCCGGCGACCGCCAATTGCCGAACAGAACGCCGCATTTGAATACAGCTGGAGAACGCTAGCGACGTAACGCGCCGGCCGTCAAAAGTCATTAACGTTCCACAACTGCCGCCGAGAACCGATCCAATCAACGTGCTGAGGACCGATCGAGCGGGTCAGACGCCAGAGAGACGCACAAGAGACCAATCAGAGATATTGGAGACCAAAGGACTGGGGCAAGACTGAGCGACCGGACAGACCCATCATGACCTGACGGCCAGATCGTCTTGAGGCAACGTCAAGACTGAACGAACCGCCCTCCCTCTTGTGTGAGCTCGACAGACTGTTTGCCGAAGCGGTCACGGAGTTCGCTCGGCGATTTGATTCGTGCTCGTGGTGCCGCACGTCCGCCTATGCCGCCTCATGACGGAGCGTGTTTATCTAATAGTTGAATCCGCCCGTCGGGCGCTCCCACTGGGGAGATTTTATCGTCGGACGGCTGCATCGAGCAGTCTTTTGTGTCGTTATGTGCATGGGCAGCAGGCTGAGCAGCCTTTATCGCAGAGACGCGGACCCTTAATGAAGTGTACACATCTGGCCGGTGGGTGATGTGGTGGAGTGGCCACCAGATTGGTCCGTCTGCTGTCAAATAGGCTACAGATGCACTTCTTCGGCTCACAGGATACTTGCAGACAAGTTCTGGCTGAGAAGCTATATAGTGCAAACGCATCCCCTTCTCTGTCCTTAGAGCCACAAACGCGTGAGATTAAATATACGAAAGGGTTGCATGGCATCCGTCATTGGCTGTCCTTCGATCTACAAACGCACCCCTTCGCCTTTCCTTGGGGCTACAAACGCAAACTGTCAGTTGTCCCCCAAGAGGCACAAACAGGCCCTATCGACCATCCTTGGAGCTACAAAT